GCTGCCAGTCCATGGTCACAGTGGTCACTGCCAGTACATGGTCCCAGTGGTCACTGACTGTCAGTACATGGTCCTAGTGGTCACTGACTGCCAGTACATGGTCCCAATGGTCACTGCCAGTACATGGTCCTAGTGGTCACTGACTGCCAGTACATGGTCCCAGTGGTCACTGACTGCCAGTACATGGTCCCAGTGGTCACTGGCTGTATGTGGTCCCAGTGGTCACTGGTTGTATGTGGTCCCAGTGGTCACTGGCTGTATGTGGTCCCAGTGGTCACTGGCTGTATGTGGTCCCAGTGGTCACTTACTGCCAGTACATGGTCCTAGTGGTCACTAGCTATAAAATGTATGTGAGGCATCGTGGTGAAATCAGGCGCTCGTCAAAATAATGAATTCAAAGAAATCTGCATTTTTATGGACGTTGGGCAACTTTTTAATAATTTTTTTTTGGCTCAACATCTTTGATGTCCATTGAAAAACACATTCATTTGTGGATTTTACTGCAAAATGTTGATCAAAGGAACACAAGATGTAAATTAGCATTTTCCAAGGACTTTCGAGCTTTGGTAGTCACCAAACTTTGTTGGCCAATTGCTTGTCAATTTTACTTCTGATTCCATACAACACCACCTCCTTCAATTGCAAATATCTCGACTCCTATTAAAGATAGATGTGTAATTGTTTCAGTGAAAGCTAGACAAATGAACAAGCTTTGTGGTGATACCAAAAATCTGACGAGCCCAAAAATTGACGAGTGCCTGATTCCACCATGTCGTGACACATAAAACGTCTTTACAATTATACCCTTTCGTACATAATAATGAATGAATCCACACATTCAGGCATACACATGAAACATGCATTCACAAAAAGGCATGTAATAACCTCGTGATCATTATTTATAGAATATACGACGTCTCTACAATGACACTCTTTCATACATAATATATTACAATTTTTACGGGTTTTATTATTTTTTTTAAGGGGGGTTGCTTTTTTCCGTGTTTTTTTAACACACACATCCAGGCATAAATAAAATATAAACATAGCATTCACTTACAAGACAATAATACCTTAATGGTCACTATCAATAAAATATATGACATCTTTACCATGACACCCTCTCACACACATTAATGAATGAATACACACTTTCAGGCATGCATATACGATAAACATACCCACACATTATTCTTCGCTCTCATCTGTCAGGCTGGTACTGGGTGGATCCCAACCTTGGCTCCATCGATGACGCCATCCAGGTATGGTGCAACATGACGGAGACTCCCGAGACCTGCGTCTACCCCACCCAGAGGACCAAGATGGTGAGTACCGTTACAGCGCTTCCTCATGCTGGCAAAACGCCCCCCCCCCCCCTTTTTTTTTCTCTAAACAGCTGCGATAAAACGCATTTTTCTTATTCCCAGCCATTTCAAGATTTCAAAAAAAGGCGTTTTGTTAGTGTAACCATTTTAAAAAAGGTGTCCTTCTGAAATTTGAATTCTAATTTATTTTCTAAAACTAGTCACAGTTTCACTTTGATTTTTTCATACAAGTAGGTTAACTGATCAGGCTATTTGCAAATTAAAACACTTGGCACCAATTATGAAATGGGGGTTTTTACAGCGAAGGGCAGAACGTCGCTCACTTCATTCTCATCTTCATGTGCATTGTTGTCTCTACTTTTACAAGTATCATCATCATCATCATCATCATCATCATCATCATCATCATCATCATCATCATCATCATCATCGTAACAGTTGAAAAACTGATTGTGAACAGAACTGTTTTGTTGGTTTTTGTATCTTCAACATTCTCTCAATCCTTCTCTACCTCTCTCTACCTCTCTCTCTCTCTCTCTCTCTCCCTCCACAGTCCAGAGAAAGGTTCTACGAGAAGGGCAAGAAGTTCAAGATGTTCAAGCAGCTGAAGGACGGATTCCAGGTGAGTGCCTATCTAACTTATTGTATAATGATAGTGATGAGAAGAAGAAGAAGAAGAAGAAGAAGAAGAAGAAGAAGAAGAAGAAGAAGAAGAAGAAGAAGAAGAAGAAGAAGAAGAAGAAGAAGAAGAAGAAGGAGAAGAAGGAGAAGAAGAAGAAGAAGAAGAAGAAGAAGAAGAAGAAGAAGAAGGAAAAGAAGAAAAAGAATATTAATGATAATAATAATAATATTAAAAATAATAATAATAGCCTAATAGTAATAGGCCCTAATAATAGTAGTAATAATAATAATAATAATAATAATAATAATAATAATAATAATAATAAAAATAATAATAATGATTTTAAAAAATAATGTAAAAAAAAATAAAATAATAATAATAGGCCTAATAATACATTATTTAAAACAACAACAGTAATAATAATGTTAAAAACCTAACAACAATAACAATAATAATAATAATAATAATAATAATAATAATAAAAATAATAATTAATAATAATAATAATAATAATAATAATAATAATAATAATAGTAATAATAATAGGCCTAATGGAACTATGTATTACAACATGACACTCACATAACAAATACACACACAGCAAACAAGCACATAATGAACAGATTTTCAGATCCTGAATATTTTTATTATGCGTTATATTGTATTGAAAACAAACCATAGCGAATTTTGTAGACATACCAAAAAGATTTCCATGTTAGACCAATTTCTCCATATGCTTGCTAGACTTTTAATGAGTTAATAAAATCAACATTATATTTAGAAAAATGATGTTTTGAGAAAATCGAAGGTAAAGTTTTTGCCCCTTGTTCAGTTTCTTTGAAAGTCAAAGAGAGTTTTTTTCTAGAACCAAACAAATATACCCACCAATGAAACCAAACAAATATACCCACCAATGAAACCAAACAAATGTACACACCAATGAAACCAAACTTCTCCTATAGGTAGGGCAATGCCCACTTTTGATGTAGGGCAATATTTCTGGAAACCCCCGAAATCTGGGTTAGCCCGCTTGTCCTTAAAAGCGACCTTTTTTTAACTCTTTATCTCCAAGGGGGGTAAACCCACTAAGCCGGGGCCCGTTTTTGGTACTAAATGTAAAAATGACGAAAACGTCACTAAATTGGTCATTAAATCAAAACAAGTGAACCTATTTTGATAATTTTTTATATAAAGAATGAAATCCCAATAAAAGAGACCTGTTTTCAGCAATTGTCGAAAAGTAATTTGATGTCGAAGTCATCGTAAAGGAATGTGCCTGCCATGAGCTGCTGTCAGCGTCTCACCGGCACAGGGGTACAGGATTCCAACCGCGAGCCTCTTCGAGCAGCTTGCTAGAGATAAATAGTTTAAAACTATTTTAAAGTAATTTAACGATGGAAGTCGTTGTAAAGGAATGTGCCTGAGCGACTGTCAGCAGCTCATTGACACAGGGGTTCCAACTGCAAGCGGCTGGGAGCAGCTTTCCGGATAATAAACAGTTAAAAACTATTTTTTTCATTGAAAACCCTTTTTTTTTTCTCTCCATCCGTGGCAAACAGATCCAATACGCATCCAGCATCCAGATGGACTTCCTGCGTCTGCTGTCTGAGAAGGCCACCCAGCGGTTCACCTACTACTGCACCGGATCTGTCGGATGGTACGACACCAAGGCCGACGGGTTCGAGAACGCCGTCAGTCTCATCGGCAGCAACGACTACGAGTACGAGACAGCCAAGTTCCACGAGAGGCAGGTTGTGCACGACGGCTGCAAGGTGAGAACTCATTTTGGGGTTTTTGTTTTTTTGTTTGTGTGGGGGTTTTTTGTGTGTAATTTTTTAGGTAAGTGTTTTACTGTGCTTGCAACTGCATAAGGTTATGTGAGCATGCAGGAGACACATAAAAAAACACTTTCAGTATGGTAGGAACTAATTGTGATTTTTGCCTGAGTGGCGGCTGAAGTCTACTCTTATCGATTTTAGGACCTCCAAGGGATCTTTAATGCGGGCAACTTGCACACGGGAGCTCAGAAATTTTTTTCACCCTTTTCTTTATGAGTATGAGCGGGTATGAGACATTAAGCATTTTCAGTTTGGTAGGAATTAATTGTGAATTTTCCTTGGATGGAAGCCAATGCCTACTCGTATCAATTTTAGGACCTCCAAGGGATCTTTAAGTACGTGGGCAACTTGCACATGTAACCTCCGAAATTTTTTCACCCTTATCCGAGAAGGCTAGGTGTTATGAAATTACTTGCAACGAGCATTTTGGCATGCACCGAGTTCTCGACTAGCATTAGTAAGTTATCGAAGTCTGTTTCTAAAGAAAACAGTAATACATTTATATCAGCTGGGTTTTTTCAAAGAGAAATCCATATTTCAATATGAAAGACGATACAAAACAGTAATACATTTATATCAGCTGGGTTTTTTCAAAGAGAAATCCATATTTCAATGTGAAAGACAATACAAAACAGTACAGGTGCTCAAAAACGACAAACAGCTTTGTAATTATAGAAAAGTAAATGCAGTTAAGCCCAGTCCTGTTTCACGTGTTAACTGTATCTTTCAGAAGCTACTGCTAAATATGTGGTGGCTTTATTGATTCCTCCAACTGAATTATTATGACAGCTTATGTCGCTAAGTGCTGTATTGTGCTGAAACTGTAGTCATGAATGAGTTAAAAAAGCTGGCTTGAGTGCTCCACTGGTAGATCCTACTTCTTTTCTTTCCCTCTGTTGTTTCTGTTTATTGAAATTGCATTTTCCAAGCACCAAAGGAGCATTATTGTGTCAATGTGCCTATCTTTGCTTGAAACCTTTGAGAAGGCATATAGAGGCATGAAAGTTCAGTTTTTTAACATAGCCTTGAGTTCTGAAAGCAAATGTTTCGTTTTTCCTTCTTGCAGGATCGTGAACAGAGCAGCTTCACAGCTTTTGAGATTACGACCAAGAAGATTCAACGTCTTCCCATTGTGAACTTCCGTCCACGAGACTACGGAGAGCCATGGCAAAAGTTCGGTTTTGAGGCTGGCCCTGTCTGCTTCCACTAAGAAGCTTACAGTTGCCCGGTCTCTTTGTTTCAGATCTTATTTTTTCAAAACAGTGTTTTTGGTCAAACTTTTAAAAAATGAAACAGAAAACCCTCAATTTTCTTTATGCCAGTTCAATAAAAAGTCTGTGGCTTTTGAAGTTGTTTGTGTTGAAAAGATGACTGTTCTCAGTTCCTGTTACATTCTAGGCATTGTTTGGCTTGTTCAATGTAGGAAAATTCTTTCATGTGTTTCCTTGGTCCTGAACTTGTTAACTCAACTCAAGGTCTCATCATGACAATCTCTGTGTCTGCTATATTCATTCATGGCATGTATATTCAGTAGAATTTCCACATAACTTCCGTTTATGAGCATTTCCTGTTTTGTTTTTCGTTTGTTTGTTTTTTTGGTTGGAAAAACGTGTTCTCTTCTACTGTGAAGGGGGCATTGCTTTCCCCTCTTTCTTATGTTACTTTTATCACAATTTATTTGGTATTTGATATTCGGTGAAGTAGATACATGTGATACACTGAATCCGTCCAGATATCTTCGCAAGCTTTGTTCCTTTCACAGAACATATGACCCACCCCGCCCAATCGTAACGTCATAATTATCACGTCATTTCATACCCGCTGTTGCATTTTGATGAACCCAAATACCAAGTCCACCAACGAATTCTTGAAAATAAAAAAAGTTTCAATCATCATTCGATTTGACGAAAGGAGGGCAACACTGAGATTTCAACATAACTGCATAATTAGTATGTCTCCATTTTTCTCCGTGGGTTGAGACGCACTTGTGAAGAAAGAAGAGAGGAAAGCTTTCTGTTTCCTGCAATGTCATTGCTTTTCTGTTTCAAGAATAAACCTTGCCAATGATATCCTTGTATCATCTTGTTGCTTCTAGGGTTCGTTAGACTTTCCATTGTGCTTGTGTTCTGCTATATATGGCACGGCCACCAGGGGGCGCCTGTCGTCAACGGGTGTGCTTGATGCTGTTTTCTGTCTGGGGTGAGAGGTATGACCAATGTCTTAGTGTATGTGAGGCATACGGTGCCTGTCTGATGATATGAAGCAATTGTACCACTTACATCTTATCATGTCCTCAATCTTATATTACCAAAATTTTTTTTAAAGAATTAAAATTTCTTTGCAAAAAAAAAAAAGCCAACACCCTTGAGAAATTATTATTTTTGTGTTACTGTGATTCATGTTGAATTCCCTCTCCTCCTCCTCGCCCCGACTGACCGGTGACTTAAGAGAGAGGTTTGTCTCGTCCACCAATGAATAACCCGGGTCCAACTCATCCACAGATCACAAGGGGGTGAGGGGGGAGGGGGGTGGAGCCGCAGACTTAATGTAACAGAGTAGCCGACCCTCACCCAAACTCACTATAGTACTGATATCATTGAATAATTAATAAAATTCCATTGACGAGCCCAGTAATTATTATTTTTAATCCAAGGACAAAGCAAAAATCTTATGATGCTGAATTAATGACCGTTGTCTTCTATTTCTTAAGCTTGTGAAGAAAATATTTTTTTAAATAAAGAATTTTCTTAAGAAAAGTCGTCAAGAATTTTTTGGGGTAAAAAAACAAAACAGGAACGAGACTTTACTGACGGAAGTCGAGTTCTTTTTGCTTCTTCTCATCTGGGGGCCACTTGTGTGCTGCTTTTGTTTCTCCTGCATGTGACCTCATTATTATACTATGGAGTTGTTGACATAGAGAATGGAAATTCTTTTGATCAATTTCTGAAAAGCGAAACATCACTGCCATTTGTATCATCACGTTGAATAAAAGTGAAAAATGATTCAACAAAGAACTCCTAGCTTTCCTACATTTTCTCCTTGTTCATCTTTGGGGAGGGGGGTTGGGGGAAATGCAAAGGGGGGCAGCAGAAAGGGGGGGGGGATTGTAAGGCGATTTATCAGATGCACTGCGTTGATTTTTGCACAAACCATTTGATCATCAAATAGTTGAAACAGGCAAGCTTGACATAAAATGACAACAGCACTCTTTTTTTGTGGAAAATTAAATTTTCTGTTTTTAGAGAAATTAGAACTACTACATTACACAAATTTAATTTTGGTTCCAAAGAGAATTCCACCTACATTTAACTTGAAATGTCATAGGCCTATAGCTTTAAGCCATTGTATCAATAAGTCAGGTTTATCAATAAGTCAGGTTTATCAATAAGTCAGGTTTATCAATAAGTCAGATTTGACCAGAAGTGGAGAAAGGCCTTTTTTTGTTCTCACAGACTCCATTCAATCCTTTCAACAATCATTCTTACAAGGCTACTTTTAGTTTTAGTAAGAGTTTAATTTTTTTAAAATTAGTAGAGGGTTTACGGCGCTCACAACTGCATAAGGTCATATGAGCGCCAAGGGGTGGGTGTCAACAGAGAAGTCCTTACAGTGAATCAGACTTACTCTGCTCACCTCTCTAGCTTCAACAACGCAAAGTCTGCTTCGACTATCAAGGCATCCCGGAAATAGCGGGTCACAAGAGTGTGACAAACATACAAAAGAAGTAGAGGTGAATGACAATGACAATAGTAAGGATTAGGAAATAAAAAGCCGCAGTTCCCTGTTGTAGATCAGGCACAGTTATGAGCGTGACTTGATGAATCAGCCCATTTACAATTCTACTGTGCTTGAACGAGAAATGCCCCCCCCCCTTTGAGAATGGCCTAAAGACACTACAGTCAGTGGCACTGCCCTTTTGGTCAGTAAGAGCTTTACGACACTTGCAACACCACAAGGTCATATAATTATATAAGTGCTGAAAATTAGAAGTGTTACAAGAGAGTAACAAACACAAAAAAGGAGGAGAGATAAAGACGATAGTTGTTTGACAGGAAAGAAGAAGACAAGAAGAAAGACCTGCAAGTTGTAAGGAATTGCCCTATTTTGAACTCGTCCTTCATCAGAGAAACAGATATAAATTATTATGTTAGTTCTATGAGTTTTACAACTCGTACCACCCCAGCAGACCCAAGAACACTTAGAAACATTCTCAGTTTGGCAGGAAGAATACAGTGCAGGCTGTGGATTGTTCACACGTTCGAACACTATCAAACTGACACCGTCTTTTTCGGTTTGTAGCCAGGTAACCATTACCACCTGGGTGAGGAAAATAGTGTATATTTTCTAGCTAATCCCCAGTATTTTCTAGCTCATCCCAAGTAGTTTCTAGCTCATCCGTAATATTTTCAAGCTCATCTCCTGTATTTTCGACTTTATCTCTAATATTTTCTAGCTCATCCGTAATAATTTTTAGCTCATTCCCAGTATTTTCTAGTTCCAGATCATCCCGAATATTAGAGCTCATCCCCAGTATTTTCTAGCTCATCTCCAATATTTCTTAGATCATCCTTAATATTTTTCAGCTAATCCCCAGTATTTTATAGTTCGACCCTAATATTTTCAAGCTCACCCCAGTATTTACACGCTTATTCCAAATATTTTCTAGCTCATCCCAAATGTTCCCCATTATTTTCTAACACATCCCCAGTATTTTCTAGATTATCTCTAATATTTATTAGATCATCCTCAGTATTGTCTAGCTCATCCTTAAATTTTCTAGCTAATCCCCAGTATTTTCTAGCTCATCCGCAGTGTTTCCCAGTATTTTCTAGCTAATCCAGAATGTTTCCCACATTTTCTATCTGATCTCCAATATTTTCTAGTTCCATTCCCTGTGTTCCCCAGTATTTTCTAGCCCAACCGCAGTATTTTTTAGCTTATCCCCAATAATATTTTAGCTCATCCTCAATATTACCAAGACTTTTGTATCTCATCCCCAATATATATTATTTTAAATCACATCCGCAATATTTTGTAGCCCATACCCAGTGTTTTCAAGCTCATCCCTATTTTTTTATAGTTTATCCCAAGTATTTTCTATCTCATCTCCAGTATTTCCTAGCTGATCCCTAATATTATCTAGCTCCTCCCCAGTACTTTCTACTTCATCAAAAAAATTTCTAGCTTATCCCTAATATTATCTTGCTTATCCCAAATATTGCCAATTATTTTCTAGCTCATCCCCAGTATTTCCTAGATTATTCCTAAGATTTTCTTGCTCATCCTTAATATTTTCTAGCTCATTAGTATTTTCTTACTTATACATAATATTTTCTAGCTCATCCCCATAATTTGCTACTTCACCCCTAAATTTTTTTAGCATATTCTTAATATATTCTAGCTCATCCCATGTTTTAATTTAGCTCATCCCCAGTATTTCCTAGCTGATACCAGTTATTTTCTAGCACTTTCCCGGTATTTTCTAGCTGACCCCTTATATTTTCTAGCTCATTCCACTATTTTTTAAACTCATTGCTATATTTTTTTCTAACTCATCCCTAATTTTTTCTAACTTATCCCTATTATTTTCTAGCTCATCCTAAAATTATCTAGCTTATCCCAAATATTCCCAATAATTTCCTAGCACATCTCCAGTATTTTTTAAAGATTATTCCTGTTATTTTCTAGATCATCCGTAATATTTGTTTAGCTCATTTCCAGTATTTTCTAACTCATTCCTAATATTTTCCAGCTCATCACTTATATTTTTAGATCATCCCTGGCATTTTCAAGCTCCATCCCCAGTAATTTCTAGCATTATCCATAATATTTTCAGGCTCATCCCCAGTATTTTCTACTTCATCCCTGTTATTTTCTAGCTCATCCCTAATATATTTTCGCTTCTCCCAAATATTCCCAATTATTTTATAGCTCATCCCCAGTATTTCTTAGACTATTGCTAAGATTTTCCAGCTCATCCTTAATATTTTCTAGCTCATTAGTATTTTCTTACTCACCCATAATATTTTCTAGCTCATCCCTAGTATTTTCTATTTCAATCTTAAGATTTTCTAGCTCATCCCTAATATATTCTAGCTCCTCAACAGTATTTCCTAGTTGATCCCTGATATTTTCTAGCACTTCCCCGGTATTTTATAGTTGATCCCTAATATTTTCTAGCTCATTCCAAATATTCCCCACTATTTTTTAGATCATTTATATTACTTTCTAGCTCATCCCTAATATTTTTTATCTCATCCTCAGTATTTTCTAACTCCATCCTGAGTATTTTCTAGCTCACCTGCCTATTCCTCAGTATTTTCTAGATCATTCACAGTACTCTCCAACTCATCTCTAATGTTTTCTAGCTCATCCCTATTATCATTTGGCTTATCAGAAATATTTCCAATTATTTTCTAGCTCACTCACAGTATTTTCTAGATAATTCCTAATATTTTCCAGCACATCCCCAGTATTTTCTAGCGTATCCATAATATCTCCTAACTCATCCCCAGTAGTTTCTACTTCATTCTTCCTGTTATTTCTAGCTCATCTCTAATATTATCTAGCTTATCCCGAACATTCCCAAATATTTTCAAGCCCGTCCTCAATATGTTTTTATATTATTCCTATTATTTTTTTTAGCTCATCCTCAGTATTTTCTAGCTCACTCACAGTATTCTTTAGTATTTTTTTTAGATCATACCCCGTTTTCACTAGCTCACCCCTAATATTTTCTAGCTCATCTCTAATATTGTTTGGCTAATCCCAAATAATCCCAATTATTTCCTAGCTCATCCCCAGTATTTCCTAGATAATTCTAAAATTTGTATTGCTCATCCTTAATATGTTCCTGCTAATTTTTATTTTCTAAGTTATCCCTAATATTTTCTAGCTCATCCTCATTATATTTTACTTCATCCATAATATTTTCTAGCTCATCCTCAGTATATTTTACTTCATCCATAGTATTTTCTAGCTTATCCTCAGTATATTTTACTTCATCCATACTATTTTCTAGCTCATCCCCAGTATTTTCTAACCCATCCGCCTATCCCTCTGTATTTTGTAGATCATTCCCAGTATTCTATAGCAAATCCCTAATATTTTCTAGCTCATCCCTAATATTATTTGGCGTATCCCAAATATTCCCAATTATTTTCAAGCTCATCCTCAGTACTTTTGAGCTTATGCATAATATTTTTAGTCTCTTCCCCAGTATTTTCTAGATCATTTCTAATATTTTCTAGCTCATCACTTATATTTTTCAGCTTATCCCAAATATTCCCAATTATTTTCTAGCTTACCCCCAGTACTTTCTAGATTATTCCTAATATTTTCTAGCTCATCCTTAATATTTTCCAGCTCATCCCCAGTATTTTCTAGCTCATCCATAATATTTTTAGCTCATCCCCAGTATTTTCTAGATCATTCCTAATAATTTTTAGCTCATCACTAATATCTTTTAGCTCATCCCCAGTATTTTCTAGCCCACCCGCATATTCCTCAGTATTTTCTAGATCACTCCCAGTATTCTCTCTACTAATCCCTAATATTTTCTACTTCATCCCTAATATTATTTGGCTAATCTCAAATATTTTCAATTATTTTCAAGCTTATCCCCAGTGCTTTCTAGATTATTCCTAATATTTTCTAGCTCATCCTTAATATTTTTGAGCTAATACCCAGTATTTTCTAGATCATTCCTAATATTTTCTAGCTCATTACTTATATTTTTTAGCTCATCCCTAGTATTTTCTAGATCATTCCCAGTATTCTCTAGCTCATCCCTAATATTTTCTAGGATATCAGTAATTCCGTAATATTATTAATTGACTTATCCCAAATATTCGTAATTATTTTCTACTCACCCGCAGTATTGTCTAGATTATTCTTAATATTTTTTAGCTCATGTCTAATATATTATTCTAGCTAATTTCCAGTATTTTCTAGCTCATCAACAGTATTTCCAGCTGATCCCTGATGTTTTCTAGCACTTCCCCGGAATTTTCTA